ATGAAGACGTCGTCACCAGAGAGTAATGTTGAAGATGAAGCCGCCGTCTCCGTCGATTTATGTTGAAGAAGAAGCCATCATTGCCGGAAAGGAATGGGGGAAAGAATGTCGGATGACGGGATGAAGCCGATTTGACCGGGGGAAGGGGAAGAAAATGAAAAAAACAACATTTAAATTTAAATGTTAGACCACTTTTGTGAGTAACAAACTCTTTGGTGATCAAATAATTAAATTTAAATATCCATCTACTAAAATCATGATCATTCAACTCAATTAAAATTTCTAAATTAACCATTAAAATCACTTTGGTGATTAACAACTTATCCTAACATTAGAGATTTGTACGGAGTATGAGTGAATATAACCATATACGCATAGTATAAAATTTTACTCAATTAAATTGTTTAAATTGATTTAGTCTGATCATTTTGATGACTAAATCACTTTGATATAGTCACATGAAAAAGTTTTTTTTCCTCTCTGTCTCTCACTCAATGTTCATACATAATTTAACTTGTTATAGCCTTGCCCTTATAGGTTTACACTCAACCATCACATATATCTACCCAAAATTTGGTGGAATCATATCGTACTTCCGCATCACTCGTTCATCATACCGAAACAATCTTCCATCTCACAAATTAAACGAAGGCATTTCAAATCCTCAAATAATATGTACAAGTCTATATGGATACCTTTATTAGCATGCTTGGAACCCCAAAAAGTTCCATGGGAGCTAGGATGCTTATATTAACATTACTTGTGCCCACATTACTTGGGGGGGTGACTAATATGTTTCTATGGCAAAATTATACGGAGTATTTAAATTTCAGAAATGTTTCAAAATATGGTTTAAACTACATACACAGAATTAAAAAGCTCTTAGTACTTAATTTAGTCCCTCCATCTCATGAGTACGTATATCATACAACCGGCTGTACGGTGAGCACCGTACAGCCGGCCCAGTAATAGGCCCAAGGTAAAAATAACAAAATAATTCGGTGACATTTTTGTAATAATGTGAAAATCGTGGTTTCTGCTAAATGAGCACTAGTGTACTTTTAATGAGCAATAGTCCAATTTTAATGAGTATTAAGCGTCCAATAATGAGCTCCGTGTTATTACAAGAAAGCTGATATCACAACTAAAAACGGTGGCATTTTCGTAATTTCAGTGAACATCGCGGTTTTCGTTAGATGAGCATTAATACACTTTTAATGAGCATCAAACGTGTTCTACTGAGCATTTAGAGTCAAATAATGAGTATTGTGATATCAACTTCATATATTATAATTCATTTTCTTTTCCTTATTTTTTCTTTTATAAAAACTCATTAAATTATATCTATAATCAATTCCTATGAATTTCAATATGTGAATCTAATGTAATATGATACTTTTGAAATGTGCAATGTTTTGACATTTTAAAAATGAGCACATCCGTACCAACTGAGCATATGTAATGTACAAATGAGCATTGATATGAAAATTGTAAGTTTTGTTAGTTGAGCATCAAACACCCTCTAGTGAGTACTCGGATAATGCAATTGAGTATAATGATTTGTGCTCTCGGGTCTATAATTGAATCCTATTATGATCATTTCGGTCTATTGAGTATTCAGATACTCAATGAGCATAACACCAGTACAAAATGAGTATACATTACTTACCAAATGAGCAATGATATGAAAATCATAAACTTTGTTAGTTGAGCATCAAGACATTTTCATTGTACATCAAAACTCCTTTATTGAGTAGTATAAGCATGCAATTGAGTATCATTATCTCTACTTTCGTGTCTATAATCAACTCATGCAAATTTAAGATGCATAAATATAACATTTTAAAATGAGCATAATATTGATACACAATGAGCATACATTACTTACCAAATAAGCTTTGCTAGTTGAATATCAAAACATCTTATTGAACATCAAACATTCTCTATTGAGTATCAGAAGATGCAATTGAGTATCACGATCTCTGCTCCCATGTATATAAATATGATGCTTTTAAAATATGCATTAATATGACATTATAAAATGAGCATAAAACCAGTGTCAAATGAACATATATGGTTTACAAAATGAGCATAAAAAATTCAAAGCTCATTTGAATTCTCTAATGTGTTCAAATATTCATTTATGCACATATAATCACAAATATAGTAATTTTATGTTAAAATAATATAGTCTTTCGTTCTCGAATTACAAATATAATTGGGATTGGGTTGTTTTTATAATGTTTACCCAAGCATGTTTATTTTTCACTATACTCATTTTAATATAACACATAACTCATGTTAGTAATTAACACATAATATTTAATAAACTAATAAATATTCATTGTAAATTAAAAATAGAAAAATAAAACATTAATACCTAAAATATGTTATAATACAGAAATAAAAAAATAAAAGTTTGATTGGAAAAAGAAAAAGATTGAGACACTTCATAATAATTGAAAATAAAATTAAAGCTGATGTTGCTAAGAAAAAAAAGCAGAAAGAGAACAAACAATTAAAAAGCAATAAACGGAAAGGAGTAAAAAAAAAAGGAAATCAGCATGCGGCAGAAATCAGGTGGAGTAGTGCATGCGGCCCAGGTGGAGTTAGAAACGATCAAGAAAACCCGGCGTAGTACTGCATGCGGCGGAAATCAGTGCCCAGGTTGATACGTACTGCAGCAGACAAAAGAAGTAAAGTGTTGAAGATGGAGTCTTGTTTTTAGGTTCAGAGCAGATACCCGACCGGGTATGGTTGGCCACCCGACCGGGTATGTTGAAGCAGAGACCGGGGGATCTCACTGGGCGTGAGACCCGACCGGGTCAGGGAAGGGACCCGACCGGGTCAGCAAGGCAGAAGCCTTCTGTTTTGGAAACCCGACCTGGTTCTACCCGGGTTTATGTTCTGTGAAGGAGACCCGACCGGGTCAAATGTCGGACCCGACCGGGTCGGCGGAAATTTTTTATTTCGGGCTTAGCTTTCGGGCCTGCGGCTCTTAATTGTGATTAGGTTTCCTTAAACCTATTTAAACATCTCTAATGTACGTGTAAACCCTGACGCAGACATAATAATACACATCCTCTCTCTCGTTCGCCGTGGACTAGCGTAATCACCCCGATTGCGTGAACCACGTTAATTCTTGTGTTCTTGCTCTTAATTTATCGTTTATCTTTGCCTAATCGTAACAATTGGTATCAGAGCTATGGCTGACGAAGGGAAGGTTAAGATCGATAAATTTGATGGTCAAGATTTCGCTTTCTGGAAGATGCAGATCGAGGATTATCTCTACCAGAAGAAGCTTCATCAACCGTTGTCTGAGAACAAACCAGAAACGATGACAGAGGCGGAATGGAATTTGTTGGATCGACAGGCTCTTGGTGTGGTGAGGTTGTCGTTGGCGAAGAACGTTGCCTACAACATCGTCAACGAGAAGACAACGTATGGACTGCTCAAGGCGTTATCCAACATGTATGAGAAACCCTCAGCAGCAAACAAGGTTTTCTTGATTAGACAGTTGGTGAATACAAGAATGAAGGAAGGTGCATCCGTGACAGATCACATCAACGAGTTTAATTCAATCATATCCAGGTTAGGCTCGGTTGAGATTAAATTCGATGATGAAGTCCAAGCGTTGCTTTTGTTATCATCTTTGCCCGATAGTTGGTCCGGTACAGTCACAGCGGTTAGTAGTTCATCTGGAACCACTAAGCTTACCTTTGAAGGTATTCGTGACTTAATCCTTGGTGAGGATATCCGGAGGAGGAGTTCGGGGGACAGCTCCAACAGTTTGTTGAGTACTGAAGATAGGGGCAGAAAATCCACTAGAGGGGGTAACAAGAAGGGAAGATCGAAGTCGAGAAAGAGAGGGCAATCCAAGAACCGGAAGGACATCAATTGTTGGAATTGCAAAGAGAATGGACACTTCAGAAATCAGTGCCCAAAACCCCCTGCAGACAAAGGCAAGAAGGAGGTGAACGTGGCAGAGGATTATGAAGATGTTCTAATTTGCAGCGTTGAGAATTCAGTTGAGTCCTGGATCATGGATTCAGGTGCGTCGTTTCATGCTTGTCATTGCAGGGATTTGATGAAAAATTTCAGGCCCTACAGCGGAAGAGTTCGTTTGGCAGATAACAAATCCCTGGAGATCACGGGTATTGGAGATGTTGATCTCAGTACCTCTTTGGGTACAACCTGGAGGCTGAAAGATGTGAGGTATATTCCAGACCTGAAGAAGATGTTGATCTCAGTTGGACAGCTTGATGAGGAAGGCCATAACGTTAGTTTTGGCAACAAGCAATGGAAGGTGACAAAGGGAAAGCTGGTCATTGCTCGTGGGCAGAAGCACGGTACACTGTACATGGTTGAAGTGTCCACAGATGGGGCAAACGCAGCAGTTGAAGATACAGGGGTCTCTACTTTGTGGCACCAAAGACTTGGGCACATAAGTGAGAACGGAATGAAGATGCTGTCTTCAAAGGGAAAAATCCCAGATTTGAAGAATTCAAAGTTGAGCTTTTGTGAGCCATGTGTTCTAGGCAAACAAAAGAGGGTAACCTTTGTGAAGACAGGGCAGCAACCCAAGATTGAGCGGCTGGAGTTGATTCATTCAGATGTCTACGGACCGACAAAGGTCTCTTCGATTGGAGGTTCCCGGTATTATGTTACATTCATTGATGACTCTACACGGAAGGTATGGGTTTATTTTCTTAAAAATAAATCCGATGTCTTTAACACTTTTAAGAAGTTCAAAGCTGCAGTAGAGAATGAAACGAATCTTAAGATTAAGTGTTTAAAAAGTGATAATGGGGGTGAGTACAGTAGCACAGAGTTTGTAGAGTATTGTGCTGAACAGGGGATCAGAATGCTGAAGACGGTTCCAGAAACACCACAGCAAAATGGTGTTGCAGAGAGGATGAACAGAACACTGAATGAGAGGGCCAGGAGCATGAGATTGCATGCAGGACTTCCAAAGATGTTCTGGGCCGATGCGGTGAACACAGCAGCATACTTGATCAACAGAGGACCCTCATCTCCCATAGGTTTCAAAATTCCAGAAGAGGAATGGAAAGGTCGAGAGGTATCCCTTACTCACTTGAAAGTTTTTGGTTGTATTTCTTATGTCAAAGTTAGAGATGCAGATAGTGACAAGCTTGAGGCAAAGGCAAAGAAGTGTATCTTTATTGGGTACGGGATGGATGACATGGGCTACAGGTTCTGGGACAACCACAGCAAGAAGGTTATCAGAAGTAGAGATGTCACTTTCAACGAGAATGCCCTGTATAAAGATGGTCTTGCAGCTGAAACTAGCAAGGCCAAGCAACCAGAAAACAAGCAACAAGTGGTGTTTGACGGGATGACTGAAGACGACATAGCACAACCTGCTGGTTGTGATGAGATGACTGGAGGTTCAGGGAGCAGTGGGAGCTCAGGAGATACAGGGATGTCTGAAGATAGTGGGAGTGATGAAGATGGTGAAAATTCAGAGGCAGCTACTCCTCAAGTCAGACAGTCCACTAGAATCAGAAGACCTCCTAACAGATATTCTCCTTCAGCAAATTACCTTTTGCTGACCGAGAATGGAGAGCCAGAATCTTACTCAGAGGCGCTGACCATGAAAGATTCCATACAGTGGAAGAAGGCCATGAAGGATGAGTTAGATTCACTTGACAAGAACCAAACTTGGTCCTTAGTCAAGCTACCACCGGGAAAGAAAGCTTTGGAGAACAAGTGGGTGTTCAGAATCAAAGATGAAGCTGATGGGAACAAAAGATACAAGGCGAGGCTAGTTGTCAAGGGGTTCCAACAGAAGAAGGGGGTTGATTACAATGAAATCTTCTCCCCGGTTGTGAAGATGACTACTATCAGGTTGATCCTTGGTATCGTTGCTGCTGAAAATTTGCATTTGGAGCAGCTGGATGTGAAGACTGCTTTTCTTCATGGTGACCTTGAAGAAGACATTTACATGGCCCAACCAGCAGGTTTCCCAGTGAGTGGTAAAGAGAAGATGGTGTGCAAACTCAAGAAGAGTCTATACGGGCTGAAGCAAGCTCCTAGACAGTGGTACTTGAAGTTTGACAGTTTTATGCAGCGGAATGGGTACACTAGATGCAAGATGGACCATTGCTGTTACTTGAAGAAATTCGAGTCTTCATACATTATTCTTCTCTTGTATGTTGATGACATGTTGGTGGCTGGAGCAAACATGCAGGAGATCAACAAGCTCAAGAAGAAATTGTCTGAAGAATTTGAGATGAAGGATTTAGGGGAGGCGAGACAGATTCTTGGGATGAGCATAGTCAGAGACAAGGTGGAAGGTACTTTAAAGCTTTCACAGCAGAAGTACATTCAGAAGGTCCTTGAGAAGTTCAGAATGACGGATGCCAAGCCAAGGAGTACACCGTTAGGGAGTCAGTTGAAACTCTCCAAGCAGCAGTCTCCGAAGACCGATGAAGACAAAGATGAGATGGCTAAAGTTCCTTATGCATCAGCAGTTGGCAGTTTGATGTATGCGATGGTGTCAACAAGGCCAGACATTGCTCATGCAGTGGGAGTTGTTAGCAGGTTTATGTCAAATCCAGGGAAGGAACATTGGGAAGGAGTCAAGTGGCTGCTACGCTACTTGAAAGGCACCTCTAGAACTGCTCTTTGTTTCAGGAGGAATGGGGCAATTCTAGAAGGTTTTGCAGATGCTGATTTGGGGGGCTGTCATGATTCCGGGAAGAGCACTACGGGTTACATATTCACTATTGGAGGTACGGCAATCAGTTGGATGTCCAGATTACAAAAGAGTGTAGCTCTTTCAACCACAGAAGCAGAATATATGGCTATTGCTGAAGCGGCCAAGGAGATGATTTGGTTGAAGAACTTTCTTTCGGAGTTGGGCATGAAACAGGGGGATTGTGGTCTGTACTGTGACAACCAGAGTGCTATTCATCTCGCGAAGAATCCGGTGTTTCATAGCAGAACGAAACACATCAAGATGCGGTATCATTTCATCCGGGAGTTGATTGAAGATGGTACTATAAATTTGAAGAAGATCCTTGATACGAAGAATCCAGCAGACATGCTTACCAAGGCGGTGACAACCGAGAAGTTGAAGCTATGCATGGCTTCAACGGGCCTTCCAGATACTTGATGAGAAGGCGCGGACGAGAGAGAAAGAGAAAGAGAGAGAGATCAGGGGTTTTACAGAAGATACATGTTCTTGGATGGCAGATGATTGTTGACCAAGCCTCCAAGTGGGAGATTGTTGAAGATGGAGTCTTGTTTTTAGGTTCAGAGCAGATACCCGACCGGGTATGGTTGGCCACCCGACCGGGTATGTTGAAGCAGAGACCGGGGGATCTCACTGGGCGTGAGACCCGACCGGGTCAGGGAAGGGACCCGACCGGGTCAGCAAGGCAGAAGCCTTCTGTTTTGGAAACCCGACCTGGTTCTACCCGGGTTTATGTTCTGTGAAGGAGACCCGACCGGGTCAAATGTCGGACCCGACCGGGTCGGCGGAAATTTTTTATTTCGGGCTTAGCTTTCGGGCCTGCGGCTCTTAATTGTGATTAGGTTTCCTTAAACCTATTTAAACATCTCTAATGTACGTGTAAACCCTGACGCAGACATAATAATACACATCCTCTCTCTCGTTCGCCGTGGACTAGCGTAATCACCCCGATTGCGTGAACCACGTTAATTCTTGTGTTCTTGCTCTTAATTTATCGTTTATCTTTGCCTAATCGTAACAATTGGTATCAGAGCTATGGCTGACGAAGGGAAGGTTAAGATCGATAAATTTGATGGTCAAGATTTCGCTTTCTGGAAGATGCAGATCGAGGATTATCTCTACCAGAAGAAGCTTCATCAACCGTTGTCTGAGAACAAACCAGAAACGATGACAGAGGCGGAATGGAATTTGTTGGATCGACAGGCTCTTGGTGTGGTGAGGTTGTCGTTGGCGAAGAACGTTGCCTACAACATCGTCAACGAGAAGACAACGTATGGACTGCTCAAGGCGTTATCCAACATGTATGAGAAACCCTCAGCAGCAAACAAGGTTTTCTTGATTAGACAGTTGGTGAATACAAGAATGAAGGAAGGTGCATCCGTGACAGATCACATCAACGAGTTTAATTCAATCATATCCAGGTTAGGCTCGGTTGAGATTAAATTCGATGATGAAGTCCAAGCGTTGCTTTTGTTATCATCTTTGCCCGATAGTTGGTCCGGTACAGTCACAGCGGTTAGTAGTTCATCTGGAACCACTAAGCTTACCTTTGAAGGTATTCGTGACTTAATCCTTGGTGAGGATATCCGGAGGAGGAGTTCGGGGGACAGCTCCAACAGTTTGTTGAGTACTGAAGATAGGGGCAGAAAATCCACTAGAGGGGGTAACAAGAAGGGAAGATCGAAGTCGAGAAAGAGAGGGCAATCCAAGAACCGGAAGGACATCAATTGTTGGAATTGCAAAGAGAATGGACACTTCAGAAATCAGTGCCCAAAACCCCCTGCAGACAAAGGCAAGAAGGAGGTGAACGTGGCAGAGGATTATGAAGATGTTCTAATTTGCAGCGTTGAGAATTCAGTTGAGTCCTGGATCATGGATTCAGGTGCGTCGTTTCATGCTTGTCATTGCAGGGATTTGATGAAAAATTTCAGGCCCTACAGCGGAAGAGTTCGTTTGGCAGATAACAAATCCCTGGAGATCACGGGTATTGGAGATGTTGATCTCAGTACCTCTTTGGGTACAACCTGGAGGCTGAAAGATGTGAGGTATATTCCAGACCTGAAGAAGATGTTGATCTCAGTTGGACAGCTTGATGAGGAAGGCCATAACGTTAGTTTTGGCAACAAGCAATGGAAGGTGACAAAGGGAAAGCTGGTCATTGCTCGTGGGCAGAAGCACGGTACACTGTACATGGTTGAAGTGTCCACAGATGGGGCAAACGCAGCAGTTGAAGATACAGGGGTCTCTACTTTGTGGCACCAAAGACTTGGGCACATAAGTGAGAACGGAATGAAGATGCTGTCTTCAAAGGGAAAAATCCCAGATTTGAAGAATTCAAAGTTGAGCTTTTGTGAGCCATGTGTTCTAGGCAAACAAAAGAGGGTAACCTTTGTGAAGACAGGGCAGCAACCCAAGATTGAGCGGCTGGAGTTGATTCATTCAGATGTCTACGGACCGACAAAGGTCTCTTCGATTGGAGGTTCCCGGTATTATGTTACATTCATTGATGACTCTACACGGAAGGTATGGGTTTATTTTCTTAAAAATAAATCCGATGTCTTTAACACTTTTAAGAAGTTCAAAGCTGCAGTAGAGAATGAAACGAATCTTAAGATTAAGTGTTTAAAAAGTGATAATGGGGGTGAGTACAGTAGCACAGAGTTTGTAGAGTATTGTGCTGAACAGGGGATCAGAATGCTGAAGACGGTTCCAGAAACACCACAGCAAAATGGTGTTGCAGAGAGGATGAACAGAACACTGAATGAGAGGGCCAGGAGCATGAGATTGCATGCAGGACTTCCAAAGATGTTCTGGGCCGATGCGGTGAACACAGCAGCATACTTGATCAACAGAGGACCCTCATCTCCCATAGGTTTCAAAATTCCAGAAGAGGAATGGAAAGGTCGAGAGGTATCCCTTACTCACTTGAAAGTTTTTGGTTGTATTTCTTATGTCAAAGTTAGAGATGCAGATAGTGACAAGCTTGAGGCAAAGGCAAAGAAGTGTATCTTTATTGGGTACGGGATGGATGACATGGGCTACAGGTTCTGGGACAACCACAGCAAGAAGGTTATCAGAAGTAGAGATGTCACTTTCAACGAGAATGCCCTGTATAAAGATGGTCTTGCAGCTGAAACTAGCAAGGCCAAGCAACCAGAAAACAAGCAACAAGTGGTGTTTGACGGGATGACTGAAGACGACATAGCACAACCTGCTGGTTGTGATGAGATGACTGGAGGTTCAGGGAGCAGTGGGAGCTCAGGAGATACAGGGATGTCTGAAGATAGTGGGAGTGATGAAGATGGTGAAAATTCAGAGGCAGCTACTCCTCAAGTCAGACAGTCCACTAGAATCAGAAGACCTCCTAACAGATATTCTCCTTCAGCAAATTACCTTTTGCTGACCGAGAATGGAGAGCCAGAATCTTACTCAGAGGCGCTGACCATGAAAGATTCCATACAGTGGAAGAAGGCCATGAAGGATGAGTTAGATTCACTTGACAAGAACCAAACTTGGTCCTTAGTCAAGCTACCACCGGGAAAGAAAGCTTTGGAGAACAAGTGGGTGTTCAGAATCAAAGATGAAGCTGATGGGAACAAAAGATACAAGGCGAGGCTAGTTGTCAAGGGGTTCCAACAGAAGAAGGGGGTTGATTACAATGAAATCTTCTCCCCGGTTGTGAAGATGACTACTATCAGGTTGATCCTTGGTATCGTTGCTGCTGAAAATTTGCATTTGGAGCAGCTGGATGTGAAGACTGCTTTTCTTCATGGTGACCTTGAAGAAGACATTTACATGGCCCAACCAGCAGGTTTCCCAGTGAGTGGTAAAGAGAAGATGGTGTGCAAACTCAAGAAGAGTCTATACGGGCTGAAGCAAGCTCCTAGACAGTGGTACTTGAAGTTTGACAGTTTTATGCAGCGGAATGGGTACACTAGATGCAAGATGGACCATTGCTGTTACTTGAAGAAATTCGAGTCTTCATACATTATTCTTCTCTTGTATGTTGATGACATGTTGGTGGCTGGAGCAAACATGCAGGAGATCAACAAGCTCAAGAAGAAATTGTCTGAAGAATTTGAGATGAAGGATTTAGGGGAGGCGAGACAGATTCTTGGGATGAGCATAGTCAGAGACAAGGTGGAAGGTACTTTAAAGCTTTCACAGCAGAAGTACATTCAGAAGGTCCTTGAGAAGTTCAGAATGACGGATGCCAAGCCAAGGAGTACACCGTTAGGGAGTCAGTTGAAACTCTCCAAGCAGCAGTCTCCGAAGACCGATGAAGACAAAGATGAGATGGCTAAAGTTCCTTATGCATCAGCAGTTGGCAGTTTGATGTATGCGATGGTGTCAACAAGGCCAGACATTGCTCATGCAGTGGGAGTTGTTAGCAGGTTTATGTCAAATCCAGGGAAGGAACATTGGGAAGGAGTCAAGTGGCTGCTACGCTACTTGAAAGGCACCTCTAGAACTGCTCTTTGTTTCAGGAGGAATGGGGCAATTCTAGAAGGTTTTGCAGATGCTGATTTGGGGGGCTGTCATGATTCCGGGAAGAGCACTACGGGTTACATATTCACTATTGGAGGTACGGCAATCAGTTGGATGTCCAGATTACAAAAGAGTGTAGCTCTTTCAACCACAGAAGCAGAATATATGGCTATTGCTGAAGCGGCCAAGGAGATGATTTGGTTGAAGAACTTTCTTTCGGAGTTGGGCATGAAACAGGGGGATTGTGGTCTGTACTGTGACAACCAGAGTGCTATTCATCTCGCGAAGAATCCGGTGTTTCATAGCAGAACGAAACACATCAAGATGCGGTATCATTTCATCCGGGAGTTGATTGAAGATGGTACTATAAATTTGAAGAAGATCCTTGGTACGAAGAATCCAGCAGACATGCTTACCAAGGCGGTGACAACCGAGAAGTTGAAGCTATGCATGGCTTCAACGGGCCTTCCAGATACTTGATGAGAAGGCGCGGACGAGAGAGAAAGAGAAAGAGAGAGAGATCAGGGGTTTTACAGAAGATACATGTTCTTGGATGGCAGATGATTGTTGACCAAGCCTCCAAGTGGGAGATTGTTGAAGATGGAGTCTTGTTTTTAGGTTCAGAGCAGATACCCGACCGGGTATGGTTGGCCACCCGACCGGGTATGTTGAAGCAGAGACCGGGGGATCTCACTGGGCGTGAGACCCGACCGGGTCAGGGAAGGGACCCGACCGGGTCAGCAAGGCAGAAGCCTTCTGTTTTGGAAACCCGACCTGGTTCTACCCGGGTTTATGTTCTGTGAAGGAGACCCGACCGGGTCAAATGTCGGACCCGACCGGGTCGGCGGAAATTTTTTATTTCGGGCTTAGCTTTCGGGCCTGCGGCTCTTAATTGTGATTAGGTTTCCTTAAACCTATTTAAACATCTCTAATGTACGTGTAAACCCTGACGCAGACATAATAATACACATCCTCTCTCTCGTTCGCCGTGGACTAGCGTAATCACCCCGATTGCGTGAACCACGTTAATTCTTGTGTTCTTGCTCTTAATTTATCGTTTATCTTTGCCTAATCGTAACATAAAGAACAACAACTAACATATCTATTGCCCTCAAAGTTGAAACTAATTTCAAAAAAACCCGGCTGTACCATGCCCTAGGTACAGCCGGTTGTATGATCCATTACTATTATATATTTTGACTTTGTATGTCAATTAAAAAAAGTTGTCAAGAGAAAAGAAAATTAATATGTATGTATCATATCAATCATTGTTATTAGTTTTAAAAGGAATTTCTAATTTATTGTGATGAATATACACAGAGTACTCGATATTATTTATGGCTTGAAGTCTTGAGGCTGAACATAGAACCTAATTTTACTGCATGCTCCATATAAAAATCAAAGTTTTCTCACATTGTTCGCAACAGTAATCTACTTGAGGACTTATTTGATGAAGCCGACCCAATCATAAAAAAATGGAGAATGGAGGCTGTTATAATGAATTTTTCTACGCATTAAATCAAGTTGTATACATATCATAAAGTTGGGGGTAAAATTGGTACGCTACTATGTTAATTTAGGGTTTTCTTTTTGTCCTTGTAAGTCATGAAAGATGTGCCAAACATCACTACAAGTATGTTTGGCACAATTAGCTGAAAGAATACATTTGTAAGTTTTTTAGTAACTGTTAGCTTTAGTGACTAAAAAGATCTTAAAAGCAAAAGTTCTACCCCATAGTTGTTTAATGAAAAGCTGACTGTTTGATTTAGCTTTATTTGATATAATGATATGGTATGTTTGACACAACTAACTGAAAAGATACTTTGTGAGTTTTTTAATAACTGTTAACTTTTAGTGACTGAAAATTTTTTAAAAAGAAAATGTGGTAGATGTTTGGTAAAAAGTTGACTGTTTGATTTAGTTCGGTTTGGTATACAAGCTGTTAAGCCTAATTAATACTAAAAGTCACGAGCTTTTTTCAGATGTTACTCCCTGTATCATCTCGAAAAAGATCTTTTGATTTTTTGAAAAGCTCTTAAAAATTGTCATGTCAAACATATAACTAGAAGTTTTTAGAGACTTTTTGAACAGTACAAAAGCTAGAAGACAGAGACTTGTATCTGTCAAACATAGCCTAAGTAGTGTATTACATGCTGTTGTGACTAATTAATGCTAAAAACTACATACTTCTTCCCGGATGCTACACTTTGTATCTCTAAAAAGTTTTTTGTTTTGAATTTTTTTTTAAAAAAAATTGTCATGTCAAACATAAAATTAGAAACTCTTAGAGATTTTTTAAATAATACAAAAGCCAGAAGTTTATCCCTGCCAAACATTCACTAACTCTATCCCTCCTTGTTATCATGCTGTTGATATAATTTATCTTTCCCATCCTTGCCCAAATTTCCCTTTAAACAATTGTTACATAAAAAATTATTGATTTTAGAACTCACAATATCTTTCTCAACCAGTATCTTTAAAAAATACGATTTTTGAATTCCACATTTAATCAATACATTTATGGAATTTTATCGGTCTAGGACCCGAAAGTTATGTCTACTATCAATTTCGGACCTAAAAGATTATTTGTATCAATAAGGGACCTAAAACAACCTAAACTATCAATATTGGACTCAATAAATTAACGCCTTCAGTTTCTAGCTAACGGAGTAATGACGCGGCGACACATCATTTAAAAGATGTCTGCTTCGTCTCCGGCTTTATAAGAGTTCGCCGACATCTCATCTTCCTTCATTTTTTCCACCCTTCGTCATCACCACAAATCTCAACTTCCTTCATATATATGCTCCAAGACAAAAGCAGCCTGAGAAGATCATTGCAGCAATGCTAAATCATCAGAGCTCATGCATCTAACTTCATCCTATGTGCTTTTCAAGTCGGAATGTTTGAATGTACAGAAAAGGAACATATCAAGGAGCAAGCCAAGGAGAAAAACACATTGAAGCTCCATTTGATTAAGTGTTTTGTTTTTTTATATAAATTGTAGGATGCTGTAAATTGTGGAGATCTTGAAAATATCTGATTATGAAGTACAAAAATTTGCAAAATTTTTTATATGTTTTTTTTTTATCATTTGTGAATTTCTGAGAATGTAAAAATTGGGTTGCCAATTTGAGAAACCCGCAAGCTACAGCTCAGGAGAAAGGGAAGTGTCCCTAATTTTCAAAGATTTTACTTCATTATCTAGGAGTAGCCATATTTGTAATGTTAATGATCTGGAAATAGATTTAGTACTTGCAAACCGAAGCAAAAACTCAAACTGGTCTCCTTGGAGAACTTTAGTAACTTTATTAGGAGGATCATATTTGAATCTTCTTATTATAATTTATTTTTTACAATCGTGTGAAACTTAGTTTAAAGAGGTTTATGTTTATGCTCTGTATTGTAGAAGATGATTGATCAAGGAAAAGGTTTGTAAAGATGGGGTGCAAACCTTGGGGATTGAATTCCCAGAATTTTGCGAAGATCAAGGAAAAGGTTTGTGAAGAAACAATTCTTCGTTGTGCATGGAGTCAGTGGATCGGAGACGGTGTTTGGCCGTGTAAGCGTTGTACGTGAACTAACAGTTCTTGTGTTTGAAGATGTTGCGTAGCAGAAGAGGATGGTTGCAGGCTTGCAGCTATTAATTTGATTATATAATAAATAAATTTATTAGTCTATGTGGCGCACATCATTACTCTATTAGGAGCAAACCGACGGCTGTTAATTTGTTAGGTCCAGAATTGATAGTTTAGAATGTTTTAGGTCCCTTATTGATACAAATAATCTTTTAAGTCCAAAATTGATAGTAGACTTAACTTTCAGGTCTTAGATCGATAAAATTCCTACATTTATCTTCTTCACAAATAAGGTGGAGTCATAATTTACATCCACAATATAATCCACATGATCCCATTAAATATATAATTTCCCACACTCAATCAACATAAACTATTGTAGAAAAAATCGTTTTCATGCTAAAAGATGCTCCAATAGTTGCCTATAAATCTTTCTTTTGATTTATTATCACAATTTTTTTTTTTACTTTTAA